CTCCCCATACATTTTATACTATGGCAAATTGGAAAAAAAAATTCTCACATATCAAGTTACCTCTATCTGTGTAAAGTGGTATGGATAGTTCTGAATTTATTCATATATCCCTTTGGAATTCACTGAAACTCTAGCCACCTTTCCTTATGTGAATCATCCTGATCATATCTCAAAATATTCCATTTAAGGTTAATACAGAATTCATGTATGTATAAGATGAATAGATATTCATATAAAAATGGTTCTATCTTTCTATCACTGCAGATCTGCCCAACAAGAAAAGCCACTATTGATAAGTCTCCACTTCTAAGTCATTAATACCTATTGCTTTGTTAAAATACTTAATTGGGGTATGATACATATAAAATGCTATATAGTGGAAGCAGGAAGCATGGCTCAGGTAGTACACAGCCTGCATAAGTGCAAAGCCCTGAATTCAAACCCTAGCACCACCAAAGAAATAAAGAGAAAAAAAAAAAAAAAGGAAAGGAAAGGGAAAAGAGAAGGGAGAGAGGAGGGAGAAAGGGAGGGAGGAAGACAGGGAGGAAGGAAGGAAGGAACAGAGGGAGGGAGGAAGAGAGGGAGGAAGGAAGGAAGGAACAGGGAGGAAGAAAGGGAGGAAGGGAGGGGGGAGGGAAGGAGGGAGGGAAGAAGGAAGGGAGGTAGGTAGGTAGGTTGGTAGGTAGGTTTTATATATATAGGTTCTTTTCTTTAAGTAAGCAATGCTAGGGTTTGCATATGTAATGTCCCCCAAAAGCATATGTGTTGAAGGCTTGGACACCAATGCAATGTTCAAGACTTTGACTCAATCATTAGATTAATCCACTGATGGGTCATAATTTGGTGGCATTATTGGGAGATGATGAAAAGTAGCAGATGGAGCCTAGGTGGAGATAGTAGGTCACTGGAGGTGTGCCCTTCCTTGAAGGGTATACTTTCCTTATCCCCAGTTCTCTCACTCATGTTCATTCATATTCATTCACTCCCCCACTACCATCCCTAGCCACCAAAGAATTAAGCATCCTTCCACAATGACATTCTGCCTTGATCCACGCCCAAAAGTTGATGTGGCTAAGCAACTTTGGGCTGAAACCTCTGAAATTGTGAGCCCAAATTAATCTCTCTTCTTTTAAGTTGATTTTCTCAGGTATTTTGTCATAGTGACGAAAAGTTGACTAGCACATAGTGACTGGCAAATAAGTGAAAAGGACACTAACTGACTAAAATAGGGATATTTCTCAAATATATTTTAAACTACTCCATTTACAAAACAAAAGTTCCAATAGACTGAAAAAATCTATAGAGGACTAATTAACCAACTCATTATAGGATTGTGCATAGAGCAAAGTACAAATCCCACAGTTTTGAATTATTCATATCACACCTGTAATTATTCTGTTTCCCCTACTTAAAATTATCCCCTGTAGTCTTCAGTACATAAAATAATGAAAGCAGAAACTTGAGAAAAACCATTGTGCTTGGAGAACAAATGTCAGGGCTAACTAATTTTTTCCCTTTGCTGTGTGTCAGTCTTCCCCAGAGGAATAACAAGAAAATCTATGACGCATCAGTGACTAAGCATATAGAGAATCTGAATCACCAGATTTTAGGAACAAAGAATGTTCCTAATGGAAACAGTTACTACACATAGAGCAACATAGATAATTAGAGCCATTATTATATTGGTAGTTCTTATTGGTATACACAGAATTATGGTTTGTTTTCAGTAAGTAGGCCAATGTCATGGTGCCAACACAATTTTTACAATAGCATGATGAGTCAAGACTGTCTGGAACAGATTAGAAGCAACAATAATGTTTTATAAGAATAAAGTTTGGAATTAACTGGATAATTCAATTTTATTTTATATCTGTATCTTTTGTGATTTTTTTTAAAAGCTAGGTCATGAGCACAAAGAGATTATAGCTCTTCTTTTTAATTGATACATAATATTTGTTCATATTTATGGAGCATAGTAAAATTTTATAATTCAGTATGTGTGTACAATGTGTAATGATAAAATGAGGGTAATTAGTACTTCCATTTTCTCAAATACTTCTCTGTGAGATTTTGACTATTTTAATTGCAAAAGTACAAATAAGATTATTTATGAACAGCTTATATGAAAGTTGTCATTGAATTTTTTAGTCAATAAGCGACTCTTACAGTGGCATATTCCACTGCAAGTTTTCTTTACTGCAGAAGTCAAAAACTACAAAGACACTGAACCAGTAGCCAAAAGAATTACAATTATCAACTAATGACAAATCAATCAAGTGACAATGCTACCTTAAAAAGAAAAGATAAACAATGTAAAATTAATCAGCAATAATAAAACCAATTAACTAATTGATACATCCAACAACACTGATGAAACTGAAAAACAGACTGGGTCAAAGAGGCCTTGTACAAAACAAAACATATAGCCAGGAGCCAGTGGTTCACACCTGTCATTCTAGCTACTCAGGCCAGCCAGGGCAAATAGTTTGTGAGACACACCACTCCCCCATCTTCAAAATAATCAGAGAAAAATGGACTGGAGGGTATGGGTCAAGTGGTAGAGCACCTGCTCTGCAAACACAAAGCCCAGAGTTCAAACCCCAGTCCTACCAAAAGAAAAAATAAATAAATATATATATATATATATATATATATATATGAATGATACCACTGTATAAGAAATTCTAGAGTAAGTTTAAAAACCTCTAAAATACTGAACTCTAGTTGACAATATGTGAATTGAAATATTTAGGGAGAAGCATTCTGATATCTACAATTTACACTGAATGCATCCAAAAAAAACCAATGAATTAATAAATGGGCAAGAAAATAAACATAGAAGTGACAAAGCAAATACAATATGCTAGTGAGGAAATTTAGAGCATGAGTACCTAGATGAATATATATGGCACATTTAATTTTTTCATAATGTTTTTATGTATCAGTTAAAGATTAATTTTTAAAATTTTTCCATAATAAAATAAGAGAAAAAAATCAGTCAAGCGACCAACTATATCTTGGGCTGTTAAAATCTTTTAAATAAATTAGCACATTAAAACGGATTTATATAAAATTCAATTAAAATGGATTATATATAAATAATATATTCTTAAAAGTAGATTATTAATGTCTTAAATAATGATCATCATCTGCAAGGGCCAGAGCAGCCTCTAAACTGACTGAACACTTAATTCTCAAACCAAGAATCTCTATGAACATACCCACAGATAACAAGTTACCAGATAGTGGTTCAGTGACAGTCACCTAGCCTCACTGACTACACTTATCAGTAAAGAAAGAAACTGCACAAAATTTCCTGATACTATTTTCAAGGACCCTCTATGGGGACTGCAATCAAATGACAATAGAAAAAATATGCAAATAATGATGAAAGGCTAGCATAAGAATGGGATACATACACATGCATAATTTACACACACGTAAATTATAGGAGCTCTTTATGGGGGGAGGACACAGCACTGGGGTTTGAACTCAGGGCTTCACTTATAAGGTAGGTGCTCTACTGCTTGAGCCACACTGCCTACTAAATTATAGGAACTCAAAGAAAGTTCCGTACACATTGGGCCTCCCATTTGTAATTAACACTTCTTATGAGCTCTTCAATTCAAAGAAAGGAAATAGTATGGAAAAGGTTTAGGACAGAATTTTTTTAAAGCAGTTAAAAAGTTGGGCATGAAGACACATGCCTATAACACAAGCACTAGGAATGCTTTGAAGGAGAATAACAAGTTCAAGGCTAGCCTGGAACACATACCAATTGTGAGGCCAGCCCTTACTATATAATGAGACTCTGCCTCAAACAATAATTATAAAGGCAATTTAAAGCCAGGTACACTAGTATACACCTGTAATCCCAGCTACTCAGGAAGCTAAGACAGGAGGATCACCACTTGAGCTCAGGAGTTGGAGAGGAGCCTGAGAGACTCCATCAAAAAAAAAAAAAAAAGGCAGCAGTATATGAAGAATAGTCTTAATAAAGAAAAATTATTCTCCATACAGATTAGTACAAAGATTACATGAAACTAAACCAAGAGGACCTGAGTTAAATGTTGAAATAAAATGTCTTTAACATCAGAGAGTATCAAACATATGAAGGAAACTCCCAAGAAAGTTTGTAAATTCACCAATATAATTATAAATAGGATAGAACCTTAACTATTATCAAGAATAGGAATGGTTCGACCTGAAGGTGTAGCAGTCTTAAATTCCTCAAATTTATACATACACAGTATCATCTGACGTTCAGAGTTTTTATAATACTTGTTTATCAGCCTTTTTTCTTCCTGAGCGATGGGGGATAAGTAGCTTATAAAGAGAAGCCTATAAAAATGTTCAAAGCTTCCCTCTTTGGATTAAAAAGCTGAGATGGTGAGATGAATTTTTAAATTCTAAAACCTATCACTTTTAACAAAGATCCTGACAATTCTTGTCAGGTGGTAATCTTTTAAATACTACCTTAAGGCAGAAAAATGTCAAAGACAATATCCCAGAATCCCATATGCAGTTTTCTTTTAACCAAAGTAAAAAACAGAACTCTAAAAGAAGCACATTAAAAATTTTTGAAGAAACACTACATTCACATTGCAAGCTTTATATCTAAAATACTTTATACTACACAATAGGTAGGCATTTACTTTTTAATAAAGCAACAAAGAAAATTTATATTTCTTCATCTTTAGCATGGTGTTAGGGGAGGCACCTGTGTAAGACTGAAAAATTAACAATGATAATTTAGTATTTTATCTGGAGTAAGAAAATGAAATGATATATTTCCTAATATGCCCTTACTTTGGATGACAGAATACAATACTACATATTTTAATGTGCATACAGGAACAATAATTCCCTGTGTTAAATCTTTTGTAGCATAAATTATGCAGTGTAACTTGTCCTAATCCCACTATGATTATGGCCATAGTGTTAATTATATCTTTGTATTTTATGTAATTTTAAAAGTTTGATTGTATTAATGAACTTACAGTTCCCTGTGCTTGTCTTCAGCCAAGATTTGGTCATTTGGTTTCAGAGAATACCTATAACATAGAAACAAATATACTGGTCATATAAACACACAAGTGCATTTGCTTCACTCAACATCTGATTGCAATATCAATATACAGTCAGTTGCTACTACACTGTTACAGGTCTCTGACTTAATTGACAAAACACAGAGAATGCCCAAGCACCTGGTTCTTTATTGTTCTTATTAGTCATTCCCTCTCACACTACTCCAGAACTGAAGAGAGATCAAAGTGACCTTTCTTTGAAACACAAGATACCTTTAGTAGCCCTCTTTAGTGAATCATATGTAATGTTACTTTCATCCAGCAGTTCAAATTTCAACTACTACAGTGCTAATATTTACATATTCACAAAACAAATGCAATTTTTCTTTCATTAAACACATATTTAGCATCTTCTGTATACTAGACTATGTGCTAAACAGAGTGACTCAAGAGGGGGAAAGAAGTTTTGGAGTTAGTTTGTTCTTGTTTTGGTTTTCTGAAAGAGGGTCTTCCTATATATGTATACATAGTTCAGTCTGCCCCCAAAATCAGGATCCTCCTCCTTCAGCCAAACCCAGCGAGTTTTTGACTCAACTGTTTACTAACTTACTGACCACAAGTACTTCACCTCTTTGTCTCAGCATCCTTGTTTATAAGACAGAAGTTCCTTTAAATATTATATCAGGAATCTTTGACCTTGGGGCTGGTAGAATGGCTCAAGTGGCAGAGCACCTACCTAGCAACCATGAGGCCCAGAGTTCACACTCCAGTACCACAAAAGAAAAGCTATCTTTCACTTGTACTACTAAAAGTAAACAGACTTTTTGAGGGGCTCATAAATAGTGTAAAGGTACAAATAATGAACAATAAATCACACTTAAAACAAGGCTCCTTGCCATTCTGCCTTTCTCTCTCTACCAAGGATTAAATATCAGAAGACAAAGGCTAGGGACGTAACCCAGTGGTACAGCACTTACCTAGGATGATCGAGAGCCTGGGTTCAATACAGCCAGGTACAGTGATGCACACCTGTTGTCCCAGCTATTCAGGAGGTTTAACGAGGAGAATCATTTGAGTTCAAAAGTTTAGACTAACCTGGGCAATGTAGTGAGACCGCCCCCATCTCAAAAAACAAAAAGCATTTTTTTGAATTGAAAAATTAAGTCAGTCTTTTTCTATCTCAAAAGTAAACCTGATGAGCTTGACAATAAAAAGAAAGTTTTGCCAAAAAGGTTGTGGGACAGACAATGTCCTTAAACTGAATGTTTTGACTAAATACTTATGGCACTTGTTTAAAAACAATTTCTCCAAAAAATATCCTTTTGGCATAGGTATATTAAAATTAACAGTATTTAACTCTTCCCAGCACTCCCCAAAATGTTCAGGTAAATATGATGCCTCTCAGTAAAAGACTAATACATGTAACTAACAGTTATTTAAGAAGCCCTTTCAGTAGCACGCATGAGGTCCTGGATTCAATAGCCAAGTGTAAAAAAAAAAAACCCACAAGGCTCTAATGACTATAATAACTGCTAGCCAGATGGTTTTTAATTCCTTGTTTCCACTAAAACTAAAGAACCTAATCAAATAATCTGATAATTTCTGATGATAGATCATAGTGATAAAGAGTTCAGCAATTGAGTGACCCTGCTGAAAACTCTATTACAATCTGATTATCTATGTGAATGCATTTCTCAGCATGTACGCCTCTAAAAACAAAAAAGAGAAAGAAAAAAAGAAAAGTGATTGTGCACACCTGTAAGCCCAGCACTGAGGAAGCAGAGGCCGGAAGATTATAAGTTTGAGGCCACCCTGAGCTATATAGTAAGAGCCTGACTCAAAAAAAAAAAAAAAAAAGATACTGAACACCGTCTTACTGCAATAAGACAATGAGTATTACTTATCGACAAAAGGTTGAAAGAGTAACTGAAAAAAGGTTAAAAATAGCTTTACCCACCTCATTAAAAGATGTATTTCCAAAAGTTTTATTTTCCATTTAATAATTAACATTTTAATATATTTGCGTTATTTTATGTGTAGTAACCAAAATGAGGAGATATTCTAAAACTGAATTTACATACATATTTTTTATTCCAGAGCCAAATAAGATTGATATGCATGAAAGAACTTAATGCATAAAAATAAATTACATAAGGATAAAATCTGGTGGGGAAAAGCAAAATAAAATTAAGAGTGAAAGGAATACAAAATTTTTAAATGTTAAAAAGAAATTATGTATTTTGTTAAACAGATGCTGATATCAAATCATTATAGTATTAAGTCCACTAAAAAGTTGATTTATCAGTTTAATTTTAAATTATAAAAATCATAATAATTAACATGTTTTAAAGTATTTGTTTATCAAAACAATTATGGAACAAAAGAGTTTGAAACCACTGAATGTGGTATCTATATCAACAAATTGCTTGGTACATACACAAGAGGCACTAGACCAATGTTTCTTTCTTTCTCTGGGTGGCTAGTCATAGAGAAATAAATTTTTCCTTTCCTTTAAGGACCTCACAGTTAAGTACACAGATCAGTATAAAAATCACTGCTCACAGAGTGATAAGTGTTATAGTAAAGTTAAATAGTACAATGTACCATGATGGCACAATAGAGTATCAAGATTCCTCTCTAAGAGAATCAGGAGGGACAGCTTTTATCTGTTCCCCTACTGTCTCTTCTTTCCCCATCTCATCTCTCTTCTTTGCTCCTTCCCCATAGATAGCATTCCCTTTTAAAGTGATAGAGTAAGAACTTGAAAGGAATAGAAAAGTAGTACAAAAGAAAGGGTTCATAATAGGCAAAAATAGCCTGATTTTGATAAAATTGCCAAAAGGGAAACTTTATTCTAATTCACACAGTATGGTCTCCAGGTCTTCAAGAATGCGTGTGCAACATCCATTTTGATCTTCTAGGCAGATTAGTTCTCTAACCCCAAATGAGCGTTAAAGCAATAACTGTCCCCATAGTGTTTCTTTCTCTGATCTGATATCCAGTGCCCCAAACCAAGTAACTTTTGAACAGATCTCAAAAACCTTTATTTTTTAAAAAACAGGGAATACTTCAGTATTCTTTCACAGGGACCATGCTAATCTCTACATTGTTCCAATTTTAGTATATGTGCTGCCAAAGCAAGCACAAAACCCTTTACACATCCTCTCGTTCATTGGTTGGTTGGTTTTTGGTTTGTTTCATTTTGTTGTTTTGGGATTTTTTGGGTTTTTTTGGGCGGGGGGGGGGGGTTGTTTGAATTCAGGGCTTTGCACTTGGGCCACACCTCCAGTGCATTTTGTTCTGTTTATTTTGGAGACATTTGCCTAAGCTGGCCTCAAACCTCAATCCTCCAAATCTCCACCTACGTGAAGTAGCTATGATTTGTGAGTCAGCAGTGCCTGACTTTTCTTTTCTTTTGAGACATGCTCTCATTATGTAGCTCAGGCTGGTCAAGATCCCCCTGCCTCTGCGTACGAGGAGTACAGGTTTTCAACATTACACCTTAATTAATCCCTGTTTCTTAATTTTATCTTCCTTCTCTTAACTCTTTTCCTGATAGGAAACTGCAACACACACACACACACACCCCGGAGTTTAGACAAACTATAAGACTTGAGGAAACAGTGCTCATGAGTGCACTTAATTCTGACACCCACTATAAATTTTGGAGAGTTACAAAAAGTACTCAGGTTCAATAACTGACTTAGAAGAACTCAAAGAACTCAATGAAAGTTATTAAGTTCAAGTTTTTCATTAAGATAAAAAGAAAGAGGTTAAGATAAGCCAAGGGAAGAAACATACAGAGAGCAGTGTTTAAGTAGCAAAGCTACTTAATTTCTCTAATGAAGATAAAACTACATATTTGCTACCCAGATCAAATAACCATCCCTAGCATCCTTCTTGGAAGGCCTCCACCTATACAAAATGAATAATTCAATTAGTCAAAAGAAGGGGGAACAATTTAAAGTGTTTATAACTTTTATAGGAGCCATTTTTTAAAAACTGAAAAGAAATTTTTTATTTAAATACACTCTTTTGCTAAAGATTAGCATGGCCTAGAATTTATGGCCTTGCAAGGTACATACAGAGACTGTGAAGTCCAGAAACAGCCCAGTCACAAGTGAGGTGCCATCTCCAAAGTTGCGCACAGTTAACCAAGCTAAGACTTTGTACATCAAGACAGCAATAAAACATTCTATAAATATGTGGAACTAAATGTGTCATCTAAAAAATTAAACAGAAAAGTACTATTACTACATATCCCCAAAAATACCAACTGAATCATGCACAAGTTTATAAAACTAGCAGAACCAACCAGGTAGACAGGTGGGTATGGCAAGATTTTAAACAAGCTAATATGTTTAAATTAGCTCTTCCAATTAAAAAATAAAGGTTGATTCAAATGTATTAGAAAGAAAATGGGAAGGTAACAAAAGGATTGATCACAACAATAATGTTCAGACTAAATCTGAATTCAATTTTAAGAAGCTTATAAAGAAACAGATTAAAGAGCAAATCACAGGGTTACATTGAAAATAACACCAGAAAGTTACATGGTTTATGACAATAGTATTTTAAATTCACATTAGCAAAGTGTGTGAGGATTAAAACTCAATTTAGAAAAAGCTAAAGCAGAAAGACTTAAACTAGATTTAATCCTAAATACATGAAATAGAACTATATTCTTTGTATTCTTCAATTTTTTGGTATGCTTTCAATTGAAAAACAATACTGAGAGTTATTCAGAAAGACTAGTCACATTTTTCATTAAATTAGAAAATCTTTAAAATGTGATGTTTAGGAGACGTCACTGCTTGGCTTTGGTGCCACGTCAATAAAGCTGGCCTTCTTCCTTTTTTTAGAGACGTTCTTGCTATATAGGCCAGGATGGGCTCCAACTCAACAATCCGCCTGTCTCTACCTCCCAAGTACTAAGATTACAAGCATGTAGTACTATGTCTGGCTTCCATTTAATTTCTTTTGTATGTGTGTGTGTGGTACTGGAGTTTGAATTCAGGGCCTCACAC